AAGCTGCAGGAGTTTCCTTTGCAAGAGCTTAAAAGCAGGAAACCTTTTGTCAGCCTCCGGCAGCTGTTGGAGCGACGCAAATCGGTGTGGGTACATATCTTTGGAGTTACAGCGCAGGAGTTGGTATCAAGCATTCCTTATCATTTGGCAAGGCATGCAGCTTTGTCAAGTTTACACATATCAAAACCTTAGGTTTTCGGCTGGTTCTTATGTGTTTAATTGGCCTTGGAAATGTGTCAACGAATCTTTGAGACACCCTGTAGAGTGTACACATACTGGCGAGATAGTAGCCCACGCGGTCAGACGTGGCCCGCGTAACTCGAATACGCTGGCTTTCATTCAGTTGACGCCAAACCTATCGGAAACTAAGCGGTAACCCACAGAGCACCGCATCTGTGGGAGGTGCTGAGATGAGCTCATCCTGAGATGAGCTCGTACGAAACGCTCTCACACGGAGAACACCCTAGAGAACAAAAAATACCCCAGACCTTACCCGGAACACCTCAGAGTACATACAGCACACCCTAGGCCCTAGGGCGTACACTGTACAGAATACCCCAGACCCCACCAGGAACATTCCAGAGTACATACATACGTACCACCTCAGGACACACACGGAACACTCCAGAGTCCAGGGTACACCCGGAACACTTAGGAGCACACCCGGAGCATTCCGCTGAACACCGATCGGCTGACTGGAGGGGGCGTGCTGGTCGACGTCCCGCTAGGGTCTGCTGGCCGCCGTTGTGTTTATGGTTTGAGCTTGACAAATCGGGGCCAAGGCGGTGCACTGTGGGGACTTTGCCCCTCCTAGCACGACTTTACTCCTGCGGCGGTACGCCGCAGTCAGCTGACTGCCGCGGCGCCGGGCAGCGCGGCGGAGCGCTGGGAGCCACGCGACACCCTCTGCTTTGATGTCTCGTAGTAGTTGTTTGGGCAAAATTGGGCAAAAGATAAGAGTTGATTTCAATGCAGAATTTATGGGAGAATATTTTGATATGTGTTTCCACACGTAACACCGCGTAATTCACTTTGTAAAGCTATGATTTGCCGAGTCAAATCTCCGAGACAAGTGGCATATTAACATGTTTTGTATTTCATTCAAAAATCATGCCTTTGGATTATGTTTCGAGCTTGTCATGTATAGGTATGCTCATATTGCTCATCAATGCTCATATTGCTCAGACCAGTAAAACACCTTTTGGGCGAAGAACGAGCGAGCGAGATAGTGAGCCCTGCACGTGCGGAAAGGCGAGATGGTACTTCCAACCGGCTTGTGCAAAGCACCCTTCTAACCGGTCGCTAGCGGTGTGCCAAATTTGAACGCAATCGGCCCAGCCGTTCCTGAGATATGAAAGCGGCATTCTGCACGTGCGCACGTGCAAACGGGGTCCAAACTGACTTTTGCACGGCACCCTTCTAACCGGTTCCCAACCATATACCAAATTTGAGCGCAATCGGCCCAGCCGTTCTCGAGATCTGGAAACGCTCCCTGCACGTGCGCCCGTGCAGTAGCACCCTAACCGCAATACATGGGAATGCATTGCCTGTTGGAGGCCTACCTGTGTGCCAAGTTTCAGCGAAATCGCCCCAGTAATTACCGAGTTATTGAAATGGGAACAAATTTGACACCTCTTCTTTTTGTATTTTGCACGTGCAGTGGGGGTCACTCACATAGATCAGGAGTATCCGACCTTTGGTAGAAGGGATGCAGCTACCCTACAAAAATTACTGCAAGACAATCGCCCAAGCGGCTGCTGAGATATGAGCCTCTCAAAATCACTACTTTTGCAAAACAGCTTGAACACCCTTGACTTTTCACGTGGCACGTGCCACGACGGTCACTGAGATGTGTCAAAACTAGTCAATTACGGGGTAGAAGGGATGGGGCTACGCTACCCAGCAAAAAAGACCGCAGGCCACTCGGTCCAGCCGTTGCTGAGATATAAGCCTCTCAAAAGCGTTACAGGCCGGGCCGGGCCGGGCCGGGCCGGGCCGGGCCGCTCATACTGAGATTTTTCCGTTTAAATATTGAAAAAACTTCGCTTCGCTCGCTGCGCTCGCTCGCTCGTAATTATAAAAACCAGTATAACGCCTTTTGGGCGAAGAACGAGCGAGCGAGATAGTGAGCCCTGCACGTGCGCAAGGGCGAGAGGGTACTTCCAACGGGCTTGAACAAAGCACCCTTCTAATCGGTCGCTAGCGGTGTGCCAAATTTGAACGCAATCGGCCCAGCCGTTCCTGAGATCTGGAAGCGGCATTCTGCACGTGCGCACGTGCAAGCGGGGTCCAAGCTGACTTTTGCACGGCACCCTACTAACTGGTCCCCAACCGTGTACCAAATTTGAGCGCAATCGGCCCAGCCGTTCTCGAGATCTGGGAGCGCCCCCTGCACGTGCGCACGTGCTGTAGCACCCCAACCTTAACACATGCAGCTGAATTATCTGATGGAGACCTAACTGTGTACCGAGTTTCAATTCAATCGGCCCAACCGTTGTGCCGTTATTGAGGTTGCAATTTTGGGGGTTCTTAAAAAATGTCCAACTTTACCACGCGCCACGTGCGGTGGTTGGCAAGAACGCATGGTGGCCATCACACCACAGAACTTTTACGTCCAAGTGACATTCAGTAAAGAAGACCGCTTGTCAATCGGATGTCCCGTTCCTAAGATATTAGCTTTTTAAGAGCGTCCCCACGGCCGGCCGGCCGCTCATACTCAGGATTTTCCCTTAATTCAGTATGAACTCGCTCGCTCGCTGCGCTCGCTCGCTCATAACAACCAGGATAACGCCTTTTGGGGCGACTAACGGAGCGAGCGAGAGGGTGAGCCTTGCACGTGCGAAATTTCGAGGGGGTATCTCCATGTGACTTGTGCACGGCACCCTACTAACCGGTCTCTAGCGATGTGCCAAATTTGAGCACAATCGGCCCAGCCGTTCTCGAGATCTGGAAGCGGCACCCTGCACGTGCGCATGTGCAAAATGGGTCCCAACTGACTTTTGCACTGCACCCTACTAACCGGTCCCTAACTGTGTACCAAATTTGAGCGCAATCGGTCGAGCCGTTCTCGAGATCTGGAAACGACCCCTGCACGTGCGCACGTGCAGCAGCACCCAACTCTGGCACACGGATATGCAGTGCCTAGTGGGTGCCTACCTACATGCCAACTTTCAGCGCAATCGGCCCAGTAGTTACCGAGATTTTGCAACAATTACAAAACGGACACCTCTTCGTTTTGCACGTGGCACGTGCATAAGGGGTCACCCACATGTATCGGGAATAGTCCAATACTTGGTAGAAGGAATGAAGTTACTCTACAAAAATTACCGCTTGTAAATCGGTCAAGTGGTTGCTGAGATATAAGCGTCGTAGAATCGTGACCACGGCCGGCCGGCCGCTCATACTCAGAAATTTCCGTTAATCTAAGAAAAGACTACGCTCGCTTCGCTCGCTCCGTAACCATGTCGCAGCATCGAATTGGTGCTTGATTAACCCTATTCCTGGCGGGCTCCGCCGGGACAAGAAACTGGCGGGGGGGCCGATTCGGCCCCCCCCTTCAGATCTCAAAAACTACACATCGCAGCGACAAACGGCGAACGGCGTTTGATAGGTCGTTTAAAGATCTACAACTTTTACAAAAAACATTTTCAGGTCAGGTCAATATTGAGGTCACCAGAGGTCATCAACGATAAAATGTTTTGGAATTAGTTACCTATATAACTTTTAAACTAAGAAACATAGAGACATAAAACCAATACATTTTTTTGTTGCTCTCGCCGAGGCGATGCGAAATAAGTTTGTGATGACCTTCACAGGTCAATTTAAAATTTGACCTGAGGTCAAGGTCAGGTCATTCATCAACGAGGTTGTGGGGTATGGTCATGCTGCATACCAAATGTTAGTTGAGAGGCAGCGTCTCAGTCCTTCGTGTATTCGTGTCCACTCAGCACGCGCGAGCGGCGACCCTCCAGTCCTCGACCTTTCACACGTCTGACCCCTCGGGCCGCAGCCTCGACCTTCGCCGCCGCACCGGTCGCAGCGGCGCGCCCAGTCAGAGGCATGGCGCAGAGGCGCGTCCAGCCGCGCGCCGGGAGGGGCGCTACACCCGGGCGGCGTCGGCGCACAACACCCACGCAAACGCCGCCCCACATACCTCCCCCCATAAAGGTTCGACCCACAATCCTTCCAAAAATATGTACATACAACTCAAAACAACAACAAAACCGCAACAAAAAGGACCATAATGCAACCGCAACACGAGGTCCACGACGCACCGCGACGTCAAACATCCAAGTACAGCGCACACGTTTCGCCCTGCACCGCAGTCACTACACGACAACGTCTCTCTGACCCCTTCCCCCTTCGCCATCCATCGAGCGTGTCGATACCGAGCACGTCGTTAGCTTGGCGCACTTAGCGGGCAAATGTGTCGCTTAAGGCCGTGTTACACTGCCGAATTTTGGCCACGACCCTGTCGCCGAATCACGTCGTGTAGGAAATCGGCGAACAGTTCACCGACAGAGGCGAACAGTTCGCCGACAGAGCCCGATTTGCAGAAAACGGGTGGGGACCCCCGCTAATCGTGCGCGGGCCGAAGCTGATCCATGATTCGGCGAACATCGCGAATGAATGGCGAATCTGTTGCGAATAGTCGGCGATACCTTGGCAACAAGTCGGCGCACGCAGCGACACGTCGGCGGCGACTCGGCGACTGTTTGGCGACCATGTTCGTTTATTAGAAGTTCGGCGAACGGCCACGAAATTTTCATTTTTCATGAAATTTTCGTGGCGGTCGTGACGAACCGTAAAAGTCGCGCAGTGGACACCGACTGGTCTGCGAAATGCCAAGACCGTGGTCCGTGGCAGAAAGATACCGAATCGGTCTACGACATAGGATGACTTGCATATTCGTGCACATTCGTGTACCAAAATTCGGCAGTGTAACAAGGGCTTAAGCTTCTTTTGAATCTTATCGTAGCCGAGCGCGGTGAGGTGGATGCCGTCCGGGCTGAACCACCTGCTCGCGACATCGCTCCTGACCAGATGGCGGCGCTTCACCATACAGGTCAGCGCGCGGCCCAGATACGGTAAAAACCGTAGTCCTCGTGCCAGGGCCGCCTCCCGCAGGGGGAGGTCCGCCCGGAACGCCGCAGTATCCTCGTAGCGGGCCCCGGCGTCACACCACAGCCGTGGAGTCGGACCTGCTAACAGAAGGTCGTAAGACTGGAGCTCAGCCAACACGGCGCCCACATCATCCTGACATAGACCCACAGGCGTGTCGTGGGGCCTTCCATATACATCGTTCCCCCCAAGCCACACAAAAATCCTCCCCAGGCTGAGGTTATGATCGCTAGCCGAATCCCGCCACTGCTCAACATGCTCCCGAACCCTTTTCCGCTCTTTATTCCAAGTGTTCCCCCGAATGGCCAAGTTGAGAATGTAATCCCCTGCACCCACCGCGAATTTTAGTCCCACTGCTAGGCTATCCCCTATGATCAAGTGCAGCCTTCCTTCAGGGGCTGGGTGGGGCGTCTGCCGCGTGGTGGCCGCCGCTCCTGAGCCCGGGACCGCCTCTCCTACCAACGTTACCCGGAAAGCAGGCTCCTGTAGCAGCTGTCTCAGGTCAGATGCCACCTCATCAGCTGGCCCAAAACCAGCACCCTCGTCCGCAGGTCGTGGGGACGTGTACATATTTATTATTTCTTTCAAGTCCTCGTCGTACTGTCCTTGCCCCATCGCCTCGGCCTCAGCGAGGAGCGCGTCGACAGCATCGACCTTGGGCTTTTTACCGTCGGGTTCAATCGGTGGTTCCACCATCGAACGATCGAATGGTGCCCCGTCTAGCTCTGCGCTTTTTGCTGTTGCGGTGGCTACCTTACCATCTGGAGGCGCTTTTGAAGGTCCAGATGGCGCTCGGTTCCTCTCCAAGGCCTCCACCCGTAGGAGCAGCTCGTCCACCTGGTCCTGGAGGTCGACGCAGCGATCCTCCAGACGCCTGCAGCGCTCCGTCGACGGAACGACGTCCTCTCCTCCAACTTCCACGCCTTCAGCGTTCATACCTGGCGGCATAATACAATTGATACGCATCGACAGACATGCATGGTTTCCTTCCTTAACTTACTCATAGTTAGGGTCACAGGTCACACAGCCGCCATTCACAGGGCTGGATATCTTACCGGAGGCCGGGATACTCTCCCGTATCATGTGGTGTATGTGCTCGTCGGTTGTGGTGTTTGTCCCGCAGCCGTATCACTGGGCATCTGCAAAAAGTGTATAAATGGACTACTCTTCGTGATCATGTTAGAGTCCCGAGATACGCGCTCGTCAGTCCTTTGTTTGTGTTGGTCAGGCGTAGTCTCGTAAGTGGTCTGCTGTCCGTGTTGTTCGGGTGTAACTGGTCGTTCGGCTGGATCGTCTTTCCTTCGAAGTTTCATGGGTTTCAGATGATTGTGATGAACGTTGGTCTCCTTACCACCGGGCATGCTGACCTTGTAGGTGACTCCGTCTCCTTCCGGACCGTGCCTTCTTAAAATGGTCGCAGGGCCTTTGTAATGAAGGGCCAGCTTACGTTTACCTCCGACGTGAGCCGTATGGTCCCTCACCCACACTTTTTGACCTGGCACATATTCAACCTCTCGCGCCGACTCGTTTTGTGTTTTTGTCATGTCGTTGGAGGCTTTGTTGATGTTTTCGTGAACCTTGGTGTATGCGTCTCTGAGTTGGCGCAGCCTGTTTTCGACATGTGTGTCGACCATCGACACCTCGCGCCTCTGGTTGAAAAGCTCATCGACTGGCAGGCGTGCCTCATACCCATGCACCAGGAAAAATGGGGTAAATCCGGTCACCGAGTGTTTGGACGTGTTGTATGCAAAGGTGAGGAAAGCCAAATGTTCGTCCCAATCAGATCCGCAAGGTTTGATAAATTTCGAGCACATGTCATTGAGCGTGCGGTTAAAGCGCTCCACCATGCCATCGCTCTCAGACCGATAGGGTGATGTCCGAGTTTTTTCGATTCCTAGTCGTTTGCACAGGGACTGGAAGACCGCAGACTCAAACTGGCGACCTTGATCGCTGTGAAGGCGTTCTGGCACCCCTTGCTGCAATACCATGTCCAGAAGACAGTCAGATACAGTTTCAGCTGTCTGGTTCTGCATGGGGTAGGCAAAGACGTATTTGGTAAAGTAGTCCATTGCTACTAAAGCGTACCTATTACCGCGAGGCTACATCGGCATCTCGGTGATATTTTATTATTATTTTTTTTTATAAATTTAGTCCGAACCTTTTGATGGGAAGGATTCACAAGGACAGAGCCACCGCTAAGCGAAGCTTGTTGCGGTGACCCTGCCCTCTACCCTCCGATCGCGCCATTCCAGTTCTATGGCAGAATTTAGAGTCCAAAGTTTAACGTGCGCACATAGCCGCGCACGGCCGGTCCCCTCACTGACTTCGCCTGGCTACGGCCTGCCACCATCCGCAACCATACCTGTCAGGAGGCCCATAAATGTCAAGCGCCCGTCGCGCTTCGAACCCGGACTGTTGTAACCGGGAACGCGTGCTCTCACCACGCGGAGTCCAACGCTCTACCAACTGAGCTACGGGACCGGCTGATATCGATAGCCACTCTTTCAAATGACCTCGAATAGGATTCGGTTCGGAGAGTTGCTTGCATCTGTGGTGCTGGGCGACTGCGTCGTTGACAGGTCTCGCAAGTTTCGCAGTAGCGGGCGGTGTCCCCGCTCATCCCCAGCCAGAAAAACCTGGTTGCTGCTCTCTCGAGAGTTCTGTCGGTTCCCAGATGACCGGCAGCCACATCGTCATGTAGCATGTTCAGGACTGTTTCATGATAGGTTTTTGGAAGAACAATGACCGAGTTGTCGCTGTCGCCATGTCGCCTTAGTTTTAGAACTCCATGTTCGACCGTGAGCTGGTCGAATAATCGAGCCATGCTACGCAGTGAGCTGTTCTTTTTCCTTAGTTCTTTTTTTGAGGGAAGCCTCTTGGCTACCAACCAGTTCCTGACCTCAGCCAGTAAGGGGTCGAGCTCCTGCTCGAATCGCAGCTTTTCGAGGGGGGATGTCTTCTCGACCGCCCTGGTGGTCTGCTGCGAGAAGCTCTTTAGCCTCCGTCTCGGCTGTGGAGTCAGTGACGTCAGCGATAGGTCTCGACAGAGCATCAGTATTTCCATTGTCGCAGCCTTTTCGGTACTCAACGACGAAATCGTATGTGGTGAGTTCGATTGCCCATCTGCCACGTCGTCCCGTGGCGTCTCCGTCGACATTGATCGAGCGGGGAATGTTCTTGAGCGGTTTGTGGTCCGTCATCACCGTGAACGTTGTGGCAGCCAAATATGGGCGATAATGTCCATGGGTGAAACTTTGACATCACCATTGGGGTCTCAACCGTCCAAGGGGGCCTCCATTTAGTGGGGGCCTCCAAGCAATTAGGGGCCTCCAATTGCGGAAGCGGTAATTTACGAACCACACCAGGGCCTCCTCTAAGAAATTTTCATTGGGGGACCAGAGGCTCAGAAGCCAAACCTAGGGTACCCCCAAATCCAGTTTTCGCATCGGATTTAGGCCACTTATTTTTCGTCACAGCTCTGATGCCATGATTTTTTTAAAAATATTGATAAAGAAATGGTAGGTCACCTGACCCTACTGGTGGATCCAGGCCAGCAGGGTGACATTTTATGTAAATATCCCCCGCGGCGTCCGAAATCGACGAAAATTTCTGGCTTTTTCACTTTTGACAATAAAACACAATGCCTCTATTATAGAAAAAAAAATAACGGCACAGCATTGCGCAAGGAATCTAGCCGACCCCAGAAAGTGTGAGGGTTAACCTTCGCCCGCACCTGGGAGGAGGGTTGCCACCCCAAGTTAGTTTTTCTGCTCTACACTTAACATTTTTAAAGCTAGAAACCTGATTTTGTGTAGAGCTGCTTTTCTATCTTTTCTCAGCGTCCATGGAAAATTTCAAGTTTCTGTGGCTTTTGGGTTTGGAGACATGACCTTGTTCTTCATGTCATGTCCTAAATGACGAATACCCAATATCTTGCGTTGGCTATGGGCCTTGTGAGTTGTGAGCTTTTGACACCCTGATTTCGGCTTTTTTTTGCCAGTCTTACCTCCCACCTATCATTGAACATGTTGTTCTGCGATGTATAGATGTCAGGGTCAGGGTCAAGGTCAACCTAGGTCATCTAAAATTATTGCGCTTTAGGCAAGCTGAAGTTACTTTTCGTGAAGTTTCTTTGACTGTATGTTTAGTAAAAGCTTCTCAGTTCATGATCTAGTGTAAGAGGGACACACAAACTGATCTGTGCACACATCAGTCCATACACAGACATACACAGACATACAAACACATATCATTGACCTTGACCTAACTTGACGTGAAATGACCACAGCCAGCAAATTAGTCGGATAGTGTGACAAGGAGCTGTTCTAGCTGGCTTGGCACTAATACGGCAGCGTCATCGGTATATGATGGGTCGGCCCGCTGCTTGTGAAGGTATCTTATTCGACATCACCACAATTTTTTCTTACAACATTTTAAGCTTCGCGGTCAAGAGCGACAGATCCTTTGGGAAGAGACGAATCCAATGATACCAATTTTACCTCATCAGGTCAGTCATTGACTTCCCAGGTCAGGTCAAACTAAAGAATGTTGCTGTTTGGGGTCACCGTTGCCCGTTGGAATATCACGTGCGTGCTCATCATATACCGATGACGGTGCCGTATTGTGGTGCTAAGCCAGCTAGAACCTCTTTGTCACACTATCCGGCTAGGTTTTTGCTGGCTGTGGCCATTTCAGGTCAAGTTAGGTCAAGGTCAATGACATGTGTTTGTATGTCTGTGTGTGTCTGTGTGTAACTGAGATGTGCACCGATTGTGAATGTGTCCATATTACATGAGATCATGAACTGAGAAGCTTCTACCAAAAATACAGTCAAAGAAACTTCACGAAAGTAAATTCAGCTTGCCTAAAACGCAATATTTTTAGACGACCTAGGTTGACCTTGACCCTGACCCTGGCATCTCTACATCATTGAACAACATGTTCCATGATAGGTGGGAGGTAAGACTGGCAAAAAAGGCCGAAATCAAGGTGTCAAAAGCTCACTAGACCCATAGCCAACGCAAGATATTATAAATTTGTCATTTGGGTTATGACATTACCTGAAGAATAAGGTCATATCTCCGAAACCAAAAACCACAGAAACTTGACATTTCAGTGGACGCTAAGAAAGGATAGAGCAGCAGCTATACGAAACATCCGACTTATAGCAATCAAAATGTTTAGTGCAGAGCAGAAAAACTACCTAGGGGGGTGGGGGTGGCAACCACTGCCCCCCCCCCATGTGCGGGCGAGGATTAAATAATTTGAATATCAGGAAAATAATTTTTTTTTTCAAACAGGCATTCCAACAGAGTCCCGCTTTTTTATAGGTGACCTCCGATTTGTGTTGCATCTAAGTTGCTCAGGGGGCCTCTTATTTGTAATTGTAGGTACAGTACAGAGAGCCTCCTACTTCGACTACTTGCACAGAAAGCCTCATAGTGTAGGTACGGCCCTCCAGCAAAAGAGTGGTTGGTTAGCCTATGTGCTTTGGGTGCAATAACTTTGAATGACAGAGACACTCCTGTAAAATGGCTCAACAGAAATGAGAAGAGGGCTCATGCACACACTTCGGCAATGGTTTTCAACAGCCATTAGACGTATTCATCAATGCTGATCGATTATTGTGATGATGGCAACCAACCACTTAATACCTGGAGGGCCGTACATACAGCTAAGCTTCTACAGGTCGAGCGCCGGTCTCTTGTACGTACAGAGAGCCTCCTACTGTTACAGAGGGCCTCCTGTTTGTCTAGGGGGCCTCCTATTGGTTAATGGCGCCTCCTATTTGTCCAAGCGGCCTCCTATTCGTCTAGGGGGCCTCCTATTTGTCCAGGAGGCCTCCTGTTTCTCGAGAAGGTCCCCTATTTATCCAGGGGGCTTCTATTTTCCAGGGGGCTGCCTATTTATCCAAGGGTCCTCCTATTTGTCCAGGGGT